TTCAAGTTGGATATGCTTGTTCTCCAACTCGGTATAACGAGAAACAAGGTCACAAGATTTCTGCGAAAGATCAGTCGACAGTCATCAAAGACAGATCACTTCCGAGTAACTAAAGAAAAAAAATTGTAGTGTTTCTAAGACTACAGCTGAATCTAAACATTCAACTGTAGTCTCGGGGACTACACCCAGTGGGTGCACTCAGCGTGCCCCCACTAGTTCTATCAGCTAGACTCAGAGTCGACCAGTCGACCGGAAACATATAACTGTCAGCAGTTAGACACAAAAAAAACGAAGAATTATTCAGACCATAGCCGACTACCAACAGTCGACCACGGTCTCGGGGACTACACCCAGTGGGTGCACTCAGCGTTCCCCCACCGGTTCCATGATTCCACTCGACCAGTTCAAGTGAAACAAGTAAAAATGAGAAAGTTCAAGGCTTAAAGACTACAGTCGACTGCAAGCAGTCCACCGTAGTCTCGGGGACTACACCCAGTGGGTGCACTCAGCGTGCCCCCAGTAATACAGACATTCCAATTGACACACCCAGTGGGTGCATGACAAACACTAAGATTTTCAGTCGGTGTTCAACTAACCTAGACATTGATCTGAAGAGCTAAACTCGCGTCGTAAGCTGCTTGGCTGGTGACTCGGATTGCCTTCACCTGCTCCATCATGATCTCCGCTTGGCGTATGGCTTCCTTGGCAGCGCCTGCCTGGTCCTCCAGGACGTGGTATGTGGAGAAGAGAGAAGGTGGATCAGCACTCGACGACGGAGGACGGGCACTTGTCAACGGATCCGCAAAAGACACAGTAGCCCGAGCAACATTGCTCCCCTCCGGAACCAATGGTTCAGGTGCTGACGCAACCTGAGCAGTCTTGCCAGCAGTCGACTTCCTGCTCCTCCTTTGCCTCAGCGGCGCTTCATCGTCATCGTCAGGGAGATCGATGATAATGCTAGGTGGATCTGCAGAAAAGGTTCAAAGTCAAAAATAAAGATCCAATCGACCGAAAGAGAAACTGCGCAGATCATACCAGGATGAGAAGTAGCAGCATCTTCCATTTCTGGATCCTCATGCCTGGCTGAAGTTTCAGAAGTAGCAGCACTGCGATTTCAAAAATCAGTCGGTCATCGATCGAGTCGACAAAGAATATATCCATGATAAAAGGAAAAAACATGAGTTATGCTGTTACCCAGAAACAGTCGGGGTCTCCATCCTCATCTTCGGTAGGGCCTTCGCTGGCTTTGTCGGGGCCGCTCGGGGTTGCTTCGACGCCTTCTCAGTCGGCGCCGGTGAAGTCGTCCGAGGGCGTTTTGTCGATTGCCCAGCAGGCACGACTCCCTTGCCGCATTCGACCGCAGGGTCGTGGACGAGCTTGGACCTTCTTTCAGAACGGGGAGGCACAACTTCCTCCTCCTCTTCCTCCTCCTCCTCCTCATCGGAGTCTGCATCTTCATCATCCTCGTCGCCGACCGACTCCCACTCCTCTTGACTTTCGCCTCCGCTCCCTTCCTCCTCCTCGATCTGTGCTTGCGCCCCGTTGGGCATCGAGTACAACTCAGTGGTGGCCTGAAAGACAACAAACAAGACAAAAGTCGATCGACTGATCTATATCAAAACAGAATGGACGAAGCATGATGACAATCGGAGATAAGTGGTCATACCTTGTCTGCCTCATAAGATTGGTTGAGTGGCGGGATCCTCCTGGCTCCACGAGGGTTGTCCTTGTTCCCCGTAATGGCAGTCATCCACCTCTCCAGTGTGACATCGTCGACTTCTTCTGGGTGGACCCGAGTGGCGTCTTCAGTACCAGAGTACAACCACATCGGGTGACCCCGGTACTGGAGTGGCTGGATACGCCGTCGAAGGAAAACCTCCAGAAGATCCATGCCAGTCACGCCATCGCGAATGAGTTGGACTACCCGCTCCATCAGCATTTTAACCTGAGCATTCTCCTTCGGAATCACTTTCAGAGAAGATGGCTTGTTCACTCGACGCATGGTGAAGGGAGGGAGCCCAGTCGACTGCCCTGGCGTCGACCGGTCTTGGCAGTAGAACCAGGTCGACTGCCACCCTCTAACTGACTCGGGCAGGGTCATAGCTAGAAAGGCACTCTTACTCCTCATCTGGACCCCAAGACCCCCACACATCTGGATTACTTGGGTTCTCTCGTCATTTGGATTGGCCTTCTTGACCGTCTAAGAGCGGCAAGTGAATATGTGTTTGAAAAGGCCCCAATGCGGCCGACAACCCAAGAAGTTTTCGCACAGAGACACGAAAGCGGCGAGATAGGCAATAGAATTGGGTGTGAAGTGATGGAGCTGAGCCCCGAAGAAGTTCAGAAACCCCCGGAAGAAGAGATGCGGCGGCAAAGAAAACCCACGATCGACATGAGTCGCTAGGAGGACACACTCACCCTCATGAGGCTGCGGCTGCCACTCCGTCCCCGAAAGCCTCGCTGCTCCGTGCTCGATCAGCCCCTCGTTGGCCAGGTCGTCGAGATCCTTCTGGGTGATGGTCGAACGGATCCAATCCCCTTGGATCCAATCCTATGGCAGGCGGGACCGCGACGAGGATCCACCCCAACTGGTCGCTCTCCCCTTCGCCTGCGCCGTCGCCTTCTTCGCCCGCTCCAAAGCCGTCGTTTTCTCCTTCACCATTGTCGCCGACGAGGCTGGAACGGAGCAACGGCGCTGGGCAGTTGGCGAGCGCAGCGGATGAATCTGGAGACAAGGGAGGGGAAAATGAGGAGGCACTGTTCAAAAAACCTCCGCCCGGTTCCTTATATGGAGTCACTTCTGAGTGGCTGACAGGTAGGCTCAGGCAATCCTGTCAAATCCCGAAACAGTCGCGCAGGCGATACGTGGCGAAAAAGGCGGCATGGGAATTGAGGCATCCCTGCCTTATCCCATCCGAGTACCGCGGTCTTCTCCGCTTCACGCGCTTCCCAAAATTCAGATCCCACTAAATCCGCTAACCGCAGGATAACTTGTCAGACGGAAGATCTCCTGCGATCCGTCGCTCGGAAATCTCCAAGTCCGTAAAGTTCACTCGACAGATATAAAGAATGGATCAAGGCGACTGAAAGAAAGTTGACATCCTCACTTGAAAGGCATTGATCCAGAGCAAAACACCTTTACAGCACCAGAAAGTAGGTCGGAAAGATTGCCAACTCCCTCCTCACTCAAACCTCGATCCATTCGGGGGCTAATGATGAAGTCATGTACCTAGGGTAGGGTCATGGACCTGTCCAAGGTACCCTCCCCGAGGACATCTTTTAGAAGAAGCCGTCTTCCAGTCGACCAAGAGGTACTCCACTCGACGGACTAGAGGACGCTCGACGAACCTGAAGACACTCGACCATGAAGACTCACTCGACCGCCAGGAGTTCAAGATCTACTCTGTATCCAAACGGTCTGTAATTAAGTAGTATTTATGGTCATGATGACACTTTATGTAGGGCGTTACCAGTAACGCCCGGCCCTAATGTACTTTAAACCCTCCGTTACGTGGGCTGGCTGGGGTCTTGGCATCCTCTATATAAGCCACCCCCCTCCACTGGCAGAAGGGTTCGCACCCCTGTAACTCTCACACATATAATCCAGTCGACCGCCTCCGGGCTCCGAGACGTAGGGCTATTACTTCCTCCGAGAAGGGCCTGAACTCGTAAAACATTTGTGTGCACAACTACTCCATAGCTAAGATCTTGCCTCTCCATACCTACCCCCCATTCTACTGTCAGACCTAGAACCACGACACACACCTCCCACCCTTCTATGGCCAAAAAACAGAGGAAAGGGGGGGGCGTGGATATATATAGGCAAAACTTTAGTCCCGGTTTGTGTCTAAAACCGGGACTAAAGGCCTACCCTTTAGTCCCGGTCCAGACACCAACCGGGACTAAAGGGCAGCAACACCTCTAGTCCCGGTTGGTGTCTGGAACCAGGACTAAAGGTCCAAGTTGAACTGGGACTGATGTCTGCCAAGGACCAGCCGGCGTCCTAGCCGCTCGAACCGAGACTAATGCTCTGATCTGGCCAGGACCACGGCCATGTTTTCTACTAGTGTAGCACCCTCAATGGAAATCACATGGCAGCAAAAGAACTTTACCGTATAATAGATGCCAACTTTACAGGAGGATCAACATCCAATGATAACAATCTAAATCATGTTTTGTCACAGGTAAGATATGTTGTTGATTGTTTGAATGACGCAACTACACAGTCAGAGTATGACCTCCAACAAACAAACAGATATTATTGGAGCCTGGACGATGATATTGAAGGAATATCTGCTTTAGGTAATGATGGACCGCCAATGGATATTTAGGCCATATGTATCAATGGCTTTGCCTGATGATCATCGGCTCATAACTACAACCATCTATATGATGCGCCAATACTATGTATCAGCATTGGGTTCTCTTAAAACACTATGTATCAAAAGTAAGTTTCTATTTACTTATGCTCATTATAAATTTCTTAGAACAATATGTATCAGCATTACAAGATCAATATATGCTATCATCAAGTTATATCATTGTTTCCTTTGTCTAACATCATATAGGAGTATATGCATTAAACTATCACATACACATGCTTTAAAAACCTGGCTGGCCGATGCTTTTTGCGCCATCGGCGCAACGGGTCTCTGGTTTTACAGTTTCATCTCTGAACCGGTGTGCCACTAACGGCTGAGGTGACTGACTACCGTTAGATGTGGATTGGTAAAGAGTCAAGACACGAAACAATCGGTGCTGATATTCTCACCCAACTACTAGTATTTGACAAGTACATGATGTGTGTACCTACGTAGTACTAGACTCGGATCTTACATATGCCCACACAGCAATACAACGGTCGTTAGTTTCTGCATCGTCCTAATCGTACTCGTCTAAGTATACACAAGCTGCATGTTGTCTGTGACGAATTATATACTGTAGCAACCACTATGTTACGTTCTTACATACTGTACGTACGTGCGCCGGCTCTGCAGAGGTCATCGGGGCAGCTGCACAAGCACCCTGTGCTGCTGCATGATGAGCACGGAGCCCATCTCCATGGACGTATTGGACGCCAGGATCTCCGCCACGGCGCCCAGCTCCCGCCCGGCCTCCGCCCACTCGTCCAGCCCGACCAGCAGATCCTTGGGCTGCCGCCCGGCCCGCCCCACGATCACCAGCGAGAACATCCCGGCCATGGCCTCCAGCGTCTCCACCACGTCGGCCGGGCTCTCCACCACCTTCTCCACGTACATGGCCATCTCCGTCGCCGCGTAGTTCTCGTAGAACCTCCACATGAACCGCTCGTCCACCTCCGCGTCGTTGAACGGCCGGCCCAGCCCTTCGCCCTCCGCGGCCGCCGCCGCCCTGGAGGTCGACGACGTCACCGTGTCGTACGTGCTGAGCTTCACGAACCGGAACACTGTGAGCCCGATGTTGGGGTTCTCGGCCAGCCGGGAGGCGACGGAGACGGCCTCGCGGTCGTCGGCCCCGCCCAGGAACACCGCCGCGATGACGTGCCTCACCGCCCTGTCGCTGCACGGGTGCAGCAGCGTGCTGGTGCTCGTGTCCACGCTGGTGGGGACCTGGAAGCTGGCGCCGCTGCTCCTGTAGGGCCGGTCCATGAGGAGGCCCACGGTGCACGGCGCCTTGGCGAGCACGCCCACGTTCAGCTCGCGCCGCTCCTCCAGCCGGCACGCCATCTTGCCGTCGTACCGCTGCTCCCTGTAGCAGGGGAGGAGGAGCAGGGAGGCGCGCGCCTCCCCGGCGCAGCGGCACACGGCGTCCACGTCCCGGGACGCGCTGCTGCACACCACGTCGATCTGCTGCAACGCGATGCCCGTCGACCGCAGGTACAGGTCCACCACCGTGTTCATGTCGTTGATGGCCTCGCGTCCGGCGTCATACTCGTCGATGATTGGCGGCAGGTACGGCGTCGCCGATGACGCCGCCGCGGCCGCCGCAGCGGCACGCTTATGGCCGCCCTCGAACAGGTGGACGACCTGGACCGCCGGCTGCTTGGCCGGCTCCATCACCATCAGCTCCACCAGGCTGAGCAGGGCCGGCATGGAGTGCGCGCTGTTAGAGCAGGTCATCATGCGCAGCTCCGCCTCCTCGCGCAACGACTCCAGGGCCTGGTGCGTCATCGCGTACGCCTCTTTCTCCTTGCGCACGAAAACCGCCGCCGCCGGACCAGCCACCAGGGTGCTTGCCAGGTTGCCGATGATCATCGCGTACAGTGCTTGCTCCGCCCACACCTGCATGCGCCACGGTTTCGTAGTTCATGATCATGTTTTCGACCTTGGCGTTCATGATCTCACTCAAATATGAATATGATTTTCGTACCCCTTCTGATTTGGCGAACTGCATGTTCATGGTGTCCACGTGGCCCTTCACGTTGAGCAGCACGCTGAAGCGGAGGGCGTCGCAGAGCGGGATGTTGAGGTACGCGGACGCCACCGCCGCGCCGATGGCCTTGCCGACGAGGCCGAGCAGCATCATGAGAATGCCGGGCAGGATGATGGCGCCAGACATGGTGTTGAAGTTCATCCGCATCCCAATGGTGGCGAAGTAGAAGGGGATCAGCAATCCGTTAACGGGTGGCACCAGGGCGTCCGCGACGGACCGTGCCGCGGGCCCTTCCCTCGGGAACACCAGCCCTAGAGCGAAGCTGGTGGGCAACCCGTCGAAGCCAAGCTTCTGCGGGAAGTTTCCGACGATCCAGATGGCCGAGATCATGAAGGCCAGGTCGCGTCTCCTCACATGGTGCTGCCCGACGTTGCGCTGGTTCACGCGCGTCACCGCGGGGCGCACCAGCCACAGGGCCAGCCCCACCCCGGTTAGCACCACCAAGCCTTGCGACAAGTCCATGCTGTTCTCCCTCGCCATCCTCGTGGACCGCAGCACGCCGTCGCCGATGACGCATATGATGTTGGTCCCGATGGCCGCGCTCACCAGGAGCCGCCCGTTCTCGGTCACCGTCAGCTTGAGGTCGTCCGCGATCCGCGCCACCGACACGGACGACGTGTTGGTCAGCGCCACCATCAGCGTCGCCGCCAGCATCTCGGGCGTCCTCACCGGCGAGTGCATCATGCTCCCGTACATCCCGCTCGACACGATGGCCGCCAGGAGGAGGCTCGCCGCCACCGTCGCGTACGTGAAGGCCACGCACCGCCGGGCCGTGCTCCGCAGCGACGCGATGTCCGTCTCCAGGCCCACGAGGAACATGTACAGGATGCGCGTCGCCGCGATGTACCCGTTGTACATGTCCTCCACGTTGTCCACGTCGATGTGCACGATCGCGTTGCGGAGCCCCATGCCGCCCACCACCATGCCGGCCTGCACGCCACGCCACGCCAGATATCATACATACATGCCGCACTGCCCATTTTCTCAACCACGCCCCGGACAGAGAAATGAATGTCAGATTGATTGATTACCAGGATCTGCGAGATGGCATTCGGCTGGTTGTACCGGCGGAGCAACGAGTGGAAGAGGTTGGAGACGAGGATGATGGCCAGCGCCTGGATCACGAGGAGGAACAACGTGTCCACCGCGATGCCAGGGACCGGCGTCCACACCAGCGGATCGACGTCCTCCGAGCAAAGGGAGACTCTTCCCATCTTCCTCGCCTCGATCCGCACTAGCTAGTCGGCCGCCGTACTTGGACGGCCCTGCCGCTGCCTAGCTTAGCTCGGCTCCGGCGTGGGCCTCCCTGACGAGTCTCCTTGATTGCATGCGCTCGTGGAGGGAGGTGTAGTGGCTGCGAGAGACCTGGGCTATTTTTGGAGGGACGCCCATGGTTTTCATGGCAGTGGTCGAGGGAGGAAGGCGCCCCGGAATAGGGTTGCGTGTGTGTTGTAAACTTGGCTAAATCTCATTTGCTCACCCATTCGCTCCTGCTTCCAATTTTTATAGAATATCAATCTCATTCGAATTATGATGTGTTGTGTCCTGCTACCTTTTAACAAATTTAGCAATTTATGTTGTCCTTGAACAAATTCCTATGTCTTATTACAGCGCTATACCGTTTGGAGGGGCATCACGCTAAGTTGTTTAGCGCCATTTGGGGTCATTTAGCGCGCTAACACTTTGGCTGCTGTTTGCTATATAGCTGCACTAATTTAAAATTTTGATTTTTAACTAGTTGTCTTATAATATAAGACGTTTTTGCAGTTCAATTGAACTGAAAAAAAAAACATCTTATATTATGGGACGAAGAGAGTATCAGCTTATCATTGACTTGCTTATGTTGATTCTGTCAATTTGTTGACCACACGTTCATCGTTAATCTGAGGTAAGATGCACTTCCCATCATTGAGCAGGTAAAACTCAAACGTGGTACCAATAAATTGGTATGGTACTTTGGTAATCTAAGGGCATGCGCAATGATGCTATCTTAGGAGGGCACATAAGATAAATTATATTTTGAAGGAGAGAGAAATCATAGGAAAAAAGTATGCTTTCTTTTAATTAAAAAATGGTCTCTTAGCAACAATATGTCTCACCTCATATTTGGAAATATCTAGTTACCAGGGATAATATTAAGAAATAACTGATCGTACAACTTTTGTGTTGTCTTCTCTAGATTACATGGTGGGATTAAGATAAACCAATCTTATTGACCATTGTACATGCCCTAATTACTAATTTTCATGAGGTTTTTTGCCAAAGCAAAAGTTAAAGAAGTACAAACTCATAGCATTATTTTACTTTACCATTATTTTATACATATGCATGTTGCGCATGTGGACTTTCACAGGTGGGACTGTGATACTTTAAAGGCAAGGAAAAGCGTATTTCAAAACTAAAGAATAAACCTGAAAAGTTGAAGGTTGGCCCTTTTAGTTCTTGAACCCGTATGCGTGAGAAGGAGGTTCAAGTGCTAATTCAGAAGCTCATGGACCAAAAAGAGATATATTTGGTGTAGCGAGGGAGAGCAAACTGGCACTATTGCGGAATAGCCTACCAGCGGCACGCGCAAATTGCCCAACAATAGTGGGCTTTGTTGTGGAGGGCGTACCCCACACCGATGCTAATAGGTCATCAATGGTGAGAAGGGCGTCCGCCGCTGCTAGGTGATAGTAGCAATTGCGAGCAGACCAAAGCACCACTGGTAGCGCATCCAGGCCAAAAAATATTGTTGTCGTGGCAGTGTTTGTACACATGACTTGTAAAGAGTGAAATACTCAAATAATTATTAACATAGTTGAACCAATCTTTATCCATTTTCAAAGCAGTCATCTATGCTCCATATTTGTTCCACTAGAATGCAAACAAAAATAACAATGTATCATTCATCTTAAGAAACTAGCAACCACTTCATCGAAAATCCAAATCTGAGCCCGAGCTCATCTGCACCTGCGCTCACCAAAAAAATCAAAATAAATACTAAAAAAATTCAAAAAATTCCGAAAAAAATTGGGGTGATGGACAATTTGATGCGTGAGGTGCGCCCTAATTTTCAAAACATTTGGACTTATGTGCAGCTCTCAGCAAAAAAGACAAATCGGAGGTCTGTAAAAATGTGTACTGTTCATATACTGTTTTGGTCTGATTTGTCTTTTTTGCTGAGAGCTGCACATAAGTCCAAATGTTTTGAAAATTGGGACGCACCTCACGCATCAAATTGTCCACCACCTCAATTTTTTTCGGAATTTTTTGAATTTTTCTGAATTTTTTACGAATTTTTTTTGAACGGGTGCAGATGCACCCGGGCACCGAAACGCCGCACTCCCACTTCATTGCCTTATTCCTGTCCTGCTGCCTGTTTCTAAATTAGGTCAAAGACAACCATCATCTGCAAGTCTTGTGGCCGTTGTTTCGTAGTGTGATTGACACAGGTATGCTAACCCTCAGTCTCTTTCATGTGAGAAACTCCTCACAGCCGGACTCATTGAAGGATATGCGCCCCTCTTTGTCTGTCTTGTACTAACAGATGTGACGGGCCCTACTCCAAGGCATACAACGGGATGTTCAGAGCGGAAATCACCTTCAAAGAAGATGTAATTTTTAAGACCCCCTTTGGATTAAAAGCAAAAAAATAGCAATTAGATATATCCACAGTGTTAGAGAAAAAAGAACAGAATACTAAAATCATACCATGATGTGTGTGACGATGTTTGTCTTAGTCAAATGGTGCACAAAGGGCACCCCCAGGAAGTTCTCGGTGGGTGGTAGGATCTCCCCGAGATTGCTGGTCTCATTCTCTGTAAGCTTCTTCATTCTTGGAGAGAAATTGGGAGAATCAAATGGATCACCCTCAGTAGGGCTGCTGATATAAAAATCCTTAATCCGGGGACCGCTTCCTTCAACTAAAAACATATATACTCTCCTCTGATGAGTTCATCCTGTAATGTACTTCTCCCATCCATCATCGCGTACGAGGTCCCTTTCTTGTTCTTTGTGCACTTCAACTTTGAATGAATGCTCCTCGTCATCCTCGAAGAGCACAGTGCCACATCTTGCATCATCGAACTCCATCCTTACGTTGCATGGGATACATTATGCAACAATATAGAAAAATTGCAGTAAATAATTAATGTAAAGACAATAAAAGAAATACAGATATGTTTACAATTGTATGCTAAAGTTAAAGATTATTACTATTGATTCTTTGAATCCCTCCTTCAAGTGGAGCCCGGATGACAATCCAGATAACAAGTTGTTTGCATTGTCAAATTTACAGATTTGGCACACCATCATGTTACGCACATGAATCATTTTACCCCTATAGACATTATCAAAAAACCCATTCACATGTATTAAGAACAACATAATTTATAAGTCTTTGCCTCTATACAATCATTATCACAAACACCTATCAAGCAAAAGTCTCCAGGTGCACCCCACGTGCCGGCAGCGCGAAGCCCACCCTCATCCGGTGGTGTGAAACCCTACCCACAGCTGGTGACGCGGACCCCCAACCACATACGGTGGCGCCC